TGCCACCAACGGCTGTGCAGAACGGCTTGCACAGCTAGTCTGAAAGGCTTTTCAAGTGCATTGGTATTCTACTGGATTTGTCCGAATAATAAGAAAGACCAGGCTTGTCACTCACAGCTGTAATAAATAACCCTTTGAAACGCTTGCATCGTTCAAAAAGCAATACCTTCTTATGACCCCTTGGATTTATAAATTTTGCCTTCCTTATATTCTTAATCCCCTTGAAAGTATGCTCGGTTTTGGCTCAGAATCCTACTTAAACGACGGAACATGTAAGCCTCAGGGGCAAACTATGTGATTTAACCGGACTTTCCTTTTCTAAATATGGGGACGGAGTCCGGTTGTGCCAGTCCGCTTCCAAGACCGCCGGTTGGCCTGTCCTGCCCGATTGCCGTCCTCAGCGGGCGGCTCCGGCCGCTGCGCAGTCCTCTGACCTGACTCCTGTCGTGACCGGTGTGCGTGGTTGTGTTTTGGCAGCGGCCGCTCCGCGGGCCGGTAAGAGTGCGGCCGCCGCTGTGACGAGCGGCCGTGGCGCGGCGGCGGCGGCGGCGGCGGGCCCGGGCCCGGCCCGGCCGCGCGCTCCTGGCCTGGCCCAGTGTCCGGATACCACCGCGCACCCGTAACGTAGCAGGCGCAGCCTTCAACACGCCCGGTAACGTAGTGGCCCAGCTGAGCGGGAGCACCAGTGTAAAGTAGCTGGCGGAGTCGGTCGGGGGGGCGGAAGGCGAGCGTCGTTGCCCGACGCCGGGGCGCTCTGCGGCCGCCGCACTCGGCTTATCTCCGCGCAGCAGGCCAGGCCAGGCCCTGTCACGCACAGGCGCGGCGCGAGGGCGACTCGTCTGTCCATTGCTTGCTGGCAGCCCCAGTGACTTGCCTTGCGAGCCCCGGCCGTGTGACGTGATGCGTGCGCGCAGCCGCGATGCCGACTGCGAATGTCGTTGGGGGCGCGGCGGCGGCGCCCTCGCTGGCGGCGACGGGGCCGCGGCCGCGCCCAGCTTCCCAAGGCGCGGACCTCCCGATGCCCGCCCGCGGGCCCTGTGCGTGCCTGTGCTGTGCGTGGGTGTGCGAGCGAGCGCGGCTGCCGCGCTCGGCAGGGGCCCGCCCTTCCCTGTAGGAATGGTCGGAGGCGCGCGGGCGCCGGGCTGAGGAGCGCCCGGCCCCGCGCGCCGCGCGCACGCGTCTGGTGCCGGCCGCGGCGCCGACCCTCAGTCGCGCGCCGGCGGCGGCCGGCACCGGCGCCCGGCGCGGGCGGGTCCTCTGCCGCGCAGCTGTCCCTCCGAGCGCGTTGGCGTCTGTCTGCCGACGCGAGTGTGCCGTGTGCCGTGCGGTTGCTGAGTTGTGGCGTGGCGCGCCCGGAGCGGCGCTTGGGGCGGGTGTCGGCTGCGCCGCCGGCTGCCGGCGCGGGACGGGTGTCGGCGTGGGTCCCGGGCGTGTGCGTGTGCGCTGTGTGAGAGTGGGAGGTCCGCGCACTGCCGGGACTGCGTGACGCCGGGTGGCGGCCCGGTCAGCGCCGACGCGCCGGCAGCGGCCGCGCCGCGCGGCGCTGGCCGGCCGTTGCCCGGAGGACCGAGGCGGGGCGCCTGGCGGCCTGCGCCCGGCACGGCGCCGCTCGGCCACGGGCGCAGGCTGGCGCCCGCCGCCCCCCCACCGCGCCGCGGCTGCACGGCAGACGGCGCCGTCGTTCCGGGCCGCGCGCGCTGACCCTCCGCTTGTTTGCCAGAGCTTGCCCCCCGCCCCCCGCTCGCAGTGAGTCGGCCGGCGGAGACCGGCAGCTGCCGAACGGCTGTGTCACAAGGTGAGCCCGCCCGGCCGGCGCCGCGGGCCGTGTTGACAGGCCAACGTTCGGAGGCTGACCTAAGGCCGGGCTTGTCACTCTCTGTTCTATGCGGTCTGGATTTTCCCGGGTTAACGTCATTGGGTGTCAAAGGCTGCGGCCATGACGACAACTGGACTCTTAGACTTCACTGCGAGCCTAGCGTGCTGCTGGTCGGCGGTCTGCGGTGATAGCGGCCTTGCTTGACGTCGTTTCTGGAGACGTTGGAACGTTTTAACTAACGTTGCCGCCTCTGTGGCTTTTGCCCCGGAAGGCGGCGTTTCCACAACCAGCGCATTGAACGGCGAAACTGTTCCCACCGAGGCCGGTCGCCCGGGGTCGGCGGAGGCCTGTCTCGAGCCTCGCCGCTCCGTCCTGACAGCGCTCCTTTCGACAGCCCCGTAAGCGATAAATCGCCATTTTCGCCGAGACCGGAGAGATCTTGCTGGGAAGCAGCGCGCCGCGGCAGGAACAGCCGGCCGCGGTGCCGCCGACCGACGAGACCACCGACCCGCCACAGATCATCATGGACACACGGCCCGGACCGAGCCAGGTGCCGACCGCGCGAACACTACCCTCAGGCTAGGGGCCGCGCCGTTACTACATGCCCCCGAGAATGCGGTTGTCCTCCAATCTCCAGTGCGTGGTCTGTCCGGGGCTCTCTGTGTGCTTGCTTGCTTCCGCGTTTCTCATCTTGGAAGCGCCGAGCTCTGCGTGTTTTGCTTGTCGCATACTCCTGTCGCCCGTTTATCTATGATCTCACGCTGACTGACGCCGGCGCCGCCGTGCCGGCAGCGGTATCGACGATGGTGGTGCCGGTGGTGAGTTCGGGGCCCGAGCAGAGCGTGTTCGTCACAGTCACCCTGCCGGTGGCAGCGGCGGCCGGCACAACCGCTCTTCCAGTCGCCGACGCTAACGCTTGGCGGCCGCCGAGCCGGCCCTGGCGGCCGTCGCCGAGCCGGCCCGCTGCCGACACATGGACGGCACAGACCAAGACGGCGACAGCAGTGCAAGACGCCTGGACATCCCCACAGGCTGAGACGGTGACCAACTGCGCAGAACGCCTGGACATCACCGCAGGCTGAGACCGTGACAACAGCGCAGAATACCTGGACATCACCGCAAGCTGAAACGGCAACGACCGCGCAGAACACCTGGACATCATCACAGGCTGAGACGGCGCCGCCGCGCAGAACGTCTGGACGTCACAACAGGCTGAGACGACGCCTGCTGCGCAAAACGCCTGGACGTCACAACAGGCTGAGACGGCGCCCGCCGCGCAGAACGCCTGGACATCACCGCGGGCTGAGACAGTGACAACAGCGCAAAACGCCTGGACATCACCGCAGGCTGAGACGGCGCCTGCTGCGCAAAACGCCTGGACGTCACCACAGGCTGAGACGGCGCCTGCTGCTCAGAACGTCTGGACATCACAGCAGGCTGAGACGGCGGCCCGCCGCGCAGAACGCCTGGACGTCACAACAGGCTGAGACGGCGTCCGCCGCGACAGAACGCCTGGACGTCACCGCAGGCTGAGACGACGCCTGCTGCGCAAAACGCCTGGACGTCACCACAGGCTGAGCCGGCGCCTGCTGCGCAAAACGTCTGGACATCACAGGAGGCTGAGACGGCGACTGCTGCGCAGAACGCCTGGAACGTCACCACAGGCTGAGACGGCGCCTGCTGCGCAGAACGCCTGGACATCACAGCAGGCTGAGACGGCGTCCGCCGCGCAGAACACCTGGACATCCACCGCAGGACGAGACAGCGCCTGCTGCGCAAAACGCCCTGGACGTCACCACAGGCTGATACGGCGCCTGCCGGGCAGAATGCTTGGCCGTCACCTCAGGCTGAGACGGTCGCCCGCCGCGCAGAACGCCTGGACGTCACCACAGGCTGATACGGCGCCCGCCGTGCAGAATGCTTGGCCGTCATCTCAGGCTGAGACGGCGCCCGCTGCGCAGAACGCTTGGACGTCACCGCAGCCTGAGAAGGTGACGACAGCAACAGAACGCCTGGTCTTCCCAGTCTGAGATGGAGACACCGGTGCAGAGGCCAATGGGTGTCACAGGAGGAGACGGCAGTTCAGAACGCCTGGGCCGCGCCGGCGGTGTCTGAGACACCCACCCAGGAACGCCTGGGCCGCGCCACCACAGGCCGAGACGGCCATTGCAGAGCACATGGCCGTCTCAGGCGCAAGCGGAGACAACCCCGCAGAACTGCTGGCAGCCGCAGGTGGCTGCGTCAGAAGAGCGTGCGCCGGTCTGGCCGGAGAAGGCGGAGTCTGTGGCGGCGGCGGTGGCCCGCTGGCAGGAGGTGGCGCCGGAGTCGGCGGCGCCGGTGGCATGGTCCCCGCCAACGGAGTCGGCTGTGCAGACGTGGCCCGCGCCGGCCGCGCCGCCGGCCGAGACGCCGGCCGCGTCCGTCTGGACGGCGCAGGCGGAGGTCAAGCCGGCGCCGCAGGTCTGGGCCGCCGCGCCCGCCGCCAAGGCGACGCTGGCATGGCCGGAGGCGCCGCAGCAGGAGCTGCAGGCGTGGGCGGCGGCCGAGGTGCGCTCCTGGACGCCGGAGCAGCTGGCCGACGCTCTGCAGGGGGACAACCGGGCGCCGCCGCCGCCGCCGCCGCCAGCAGCCGCCGGCGGCCGTGCCGGCCGCTCGCAGCGACCCGATGTGGGGCGAGGCGGCTCCGCCACCAACCGCCGCCCCGACCGGACGACCCGCTGGCCGACATGCCCAAGGGCATGGGCCTCATCGAGTACATTAACGGCGATCACGGTGAGAGCAGCGGCAGTCCTTACTGCTGTGATCTATTGGCAGCTGGCCGGCGTCTCGAGAAGTATAACCTAGCGGATCAGCTGGTGGCTAGCTGATGCTGGTGTCGCGCTCTGTGCGTCGTAGATTAGGTGGGAGCACGTGACGAGGACCGGCTTGGAGATGTCGTAGGTGAGGATGAGTTGTGACTGAAACTCAGGTTGTGCGTGAGTGATGAAGACTCCGTCCTAGCCAGCATCTCACGCGCGCCGTGTCCCGTTTTCAGAATAGACACACGATCGGGGGAACATCAGCGTGCGTGTGGCGCACCAGCTGCGCGGCCGGCTGGAAAGCGGCCGTCGGCCGACGGCTGCTCTTCGCGTGCTCGCCGGGCGCGTCTCGGTCGACTGCGGAGCTCTGGCCACGAAGACGCGCGTCAATCGTAGGGGCATCTCAGCGGCGGCGAGTGCGGCCTGCCCAACAGTGAATCTCTGCGGTCTGCCTGGAGGCAGGCGGCCCGCGCCGTCGCCGGGCGCCAGTGCTGTGCCGCCGCCGCCGGGCGAGCGGGGCCGCGCACAGGGCCGGGCCGTGGGGCCGGCCGGCGAGTGGTCGTACTGAGCGCCCGCCGTCGGACGGCTGCACGTAGCAAGCCGGGTGTGCCTCCTAACCGGAGATAATGCGCGGGACGTGCCGTGCGGGGTGAATGTAAAGAGGTCAGTGGTTCACACAGTGGTGGCGCGTCTTATCAATGAGCTGTTTCCTGATTTATGTATATTATCATAGTTAGGTGACGAGCCGCTGCATTGCAGACCATTACCAATGGGTTTTGTCCCGCGTTCTTTTTGTACGAAGCTTTTGTCTTGGTTCATTTCGCAGCGTAGCGATGGTGGGGGAGCGTGCTCCTCGCCCGCCGCCCGCGAGCAGCGGGCACGTGTTCCGCCGCGCGCCCGGCTCGGCGTCACGCGTGTGTCTGTGTTTGTTGTCTCCCCCTCCGCCGCATCTGCTGCGAGGTGCTCAGGGTGCCGCGGTGGCCCAGCCACGCCCAGCCACAGTGATATGCGTCTACAATTCTTGCCGAATTACTGGAGCTGAGCCTGCGGGCGGCGACTCCCAGTCAGTATGAGGCGACGGTCCCGGACTGAGAGCGCGGACCGTTGCCGCCTGCGGCTGCGGCAGGCCCCGCCCTCAGGGGTGCACGAGCTTAGCGTGGGTCCACCCCGCCCGTGCGGGGCGTGATCGACATCTCTGAGGCTTTTGACGGCCACCGGTGCAAGGTGGGCCCGCGTGGCTGCACCGCGCCGTTTAGGTTAGTGTGCACCCGAAGTTACGGGTCTGTTTGTTGTTAGCCGCCCTTTGGAACTGGATTATACGCTTATGAATATTGTAAACTAGGGTATCAGAGATTGTTGTAATCTAGCGGCCATCCTCGAAGTGCAACAAGGGCGTGCAATACGTAGTGAGGGGTTGCATCCAGAAAAGTAATAGGCGGCCCTGCGTCACGTATTTGCTGGGCGTTCAAATTGCTCTCAGGAGCCAAAGCGTGCTTTCAAACATCGACTTCAATTCAATCGCCCTCGGCTACTCATTCTGCGCGCAAACCCCCGACTGACGACTCATACAACAAGGACGGGAGGGAAGCGGTCCCCCGGATAAGAAACGATGTACAGGTCAGGGCGCACCCGAAGATTGGGTCCATGTCTCCTGGCGTGTTTGTGTCGCAGTCATCCGCCACCACCGGATCTCGGTGTTCGCTCACCACCTCTCGGCGCCGAGCGGACCGGGTCAGATGCCTTGGCTTCGGCTCGAGCCGAGTGTGCAATCGTTGTACAACGCCGTAACGGGCGGTGCATGTGTTGAGGCGGCGGCCGGCGCGGTCCTCGTTTCGAGCGGCGCGTCTGCCGCGCGGTCGCCCCCGAGGTGCGGCCCGCGCGGCGTCAGTGGTGATGCGTGTGCGCTGGTCCGCAATAGGCGCCGGATGGGAAAATCCTCCACCGCGGCGAAACATGACGTTCACGCAAATTCGTGTCTGTCAGGTTAGAATGTTGTCTCTCTTAAGCGCAGCCCGGCAACGTACTCCGAATGTTTGGTTTAGTTGTGCGCGCAGTCGCCGGCTGGTTGTACCGTTACACGCAGTGGAGATTGCCCCAGCCGTGTGCCGCGGTTCATGTTGCCGCCGCCAGGTGGCCATCAAATGTCAACCCAATATGACTGACCGTCGCGTCGTGGTACATCGTTTTGCGCGGTCGCAGGCTGTGCCCGGCCGGGCGCGGCCGAGAAGGCCGCTCCCCTGGGCGCCTGCGCATGCCGGTGCCGAATAAACTGCGGCCGTGCAGTGCAATTGTCTGTCACGGGCGGGGTCAGCGGTGCTGGCTGGGCGACGGGGAGCTGGGAGCGAGTACTGCCCGCTGCAGCGAGCTGGTACGGCAGTGGACGGCGCCCGGGCGATACCAAGTCAACACGTGGCCAGATCGGGAGGGCGTTCTCACGGTGTATGTCCACTGCCTGACTACTGTGGTGCTGTGCTCAGGCTGCACCGTCTCTACCGATGGCCCAACATGTTTCACTAGCTGACCAGGCTTCGGGAGCAGGGCTGTGCATTATGTGATGCGTGGTAAGACGCCGCTCGTTGTCATAAAATAGCACTTGTATTATATAAAAGCTAGCAGTACGCTTGAAGGCTCATCGCTGGGGCTCTCCGTTTTCGAGTTCCACGATCGGCCAGAGCGCGGAACTCTCAGGTTGATCCGCCCTCCGAATGCTCTAAAGATACTTCTCTGCACACGCGACACGAAACTGGCCCGAGTATCTCGCAAGTCATCGACGCCGCGGCGTCGCCGATGAGGTCACAGGCGTGCCGGTCGAGCTCAGCCGACCGCCGCCAGCTCGACCTCAGGTCAGCCTGTCTGTGAGGGACGCGCCCTGGTCGAGCGCGGCGCGCAGCATACCGGCAAACAAACCGCCTCGCTTGTTGGCCAGCTGGCGGGGCGGCCCCTGCTCGGCCAGCCGGCCGTCCTGCAGCACCAGCAGCTGGTCGTAGTCGAGCACGGTGGTCAGCTGGTGCGCGATCGTGATGACCGTGCTCTTCTCGAACGCCTTCCACACGATCGCCTGCACCTTGCGCTCCGTCTCGGCGTCCAGCGAGCTGGTCGGCTCGTCCATGACGACGACGCGCGCGCCGCGCAGCAGCGCGCGCGCCAGACACAGCAGCTGGCGCTGCCCTACGCTGAAGTTGTCGCCGCCCTCCTGCACCTCCGACTCTGCCAGGGGGCGCACCGCCGGTCACGTGGGGCGGGCGGCGCCGCGGAGCCAGCAGGCACTGGGGCACGCTGCCACCTAGTGTTTGTGGTAAAGCACACTCTTTAGTTAGTTAGTTAGTTAGCCAGGTCAGTTATGTGCCTGAGTAAGGCATTTCATAACTGCTGTGAGAAAAAAAATAGTCGAAAACGTGGCAACGAAGGTAAATCTGCGCCTGTCACCTCCGGTTGACAGCCCTGCGCAACAAACATCCAGAGACATGCTTCATCGAACTTACCCAAACCTTTCCCTAGCTTCTTTATATACTCCTTCATTTGTACGAGCTCAAGAGCCCTCCAGATTTCTTCGTCTTGTATGTCAAACTTCGGGTCCAGGTTCGATCTGAAATAAAAGCAGGAACAATGCCAGAGCCGCTTGAGCCAACACTGGGAATGCCACCATGATGGCGCCCGCGCGTCGAACCGACAGGGTGTACGTCTCCAAGGGGTCCTCGAGGTCAGCCGAGTGGCGTCAAAGGTCAGACTAGAACGGCGGCTGGGTCCAAAGTGGCGCCAAAGGTCAAACTAGCAGGGCGGCTGGGTCCGAAGTGACGCTTAAGGTCCAACGAACGATTACCAACACAGCGGATGCGACTGTGCGTTGGATGCGCAATGTGTAACACGTTTTTTTTTTCTCCAAAAAGCGCATATATGCAGCAGCGCCCAGACACTAGATATTTGATTGTTAGAGCACGTTAAGTTCCACCGCATTCATTTGTCCCACGCTGAGTGGCCAAACCGGGGTAGAATAAACTATTTGGGCCAACGGTTCCGCTGTGTCGTCCGACCTGACTGTGCCGGAGAACAGGAGCGGCTCCTGAGGTATCAGCGCCACCTGCGAACGGATCGAGTGCAGGGGCACGCTTTTCAGGTCCATGCCGTCGATCCGAATCACGCCCTCCAGCAGATCCGACATTTGAAAAAGGGCCATGGCCAGAGTCGACTTGCCGCTGCCCGACCGGCCCACCAGAGCCACCTGTGGGCAAACAGAGTAACTTTTGAGGTTGGGTAGGACCTGGACGCAGGCGATGGTCGCAACCAATGCTGCATATGTGCAGCTTGTAGACTTGCAGTTTATCAGCGGCAAACAAGAATATGTTACGTCCCTAATAACAGTTATAATCTGAGGCATTACAAAATTATGATCTCCGGCAAGGTGTGAAGGAACGCTGGAGGAGTACCGGTGCGATGCGATACTCGGTGCAGTTACGTTACAGTTGCATATTCTACCATATGATCAATCCCACTCAATCCAAGGATTCTGCCAGCACAACAAAGGAGTCCACCCACAAGCTCCGCTCAACTTTGTAGCTGGGGCATTACAGCAGATTATATGCATTCAATGATCAGCTGTCACCGACAAACGGTGCTGCGCTGACGCCAGCTGGAAGTTCCGCGCGGCGACCCCACCTTCTGGCCGGGCAGGACGGTGACGCTGACATCCTTGAGCACCCTGACGATGGCCGTGTCCTCGCTGAGTAGCCGACGCTGGCGCCGATGAACTCGATCTTGCCCTGTCGCGGCCAATCAGGCGCCACTGCCGGCGGGCGAGAGCGGGCGTCAGAGGGAGCGGGCGTCAGAGGGTCCTGCCGGTCAGCCGGCGGCCGACGGCAGGACCGAAACGGCGGCGGATGCTTGACGGGACGCATGCACAGCGGACATGACGGCGGCGGAACACTTGGCGGGGACGCATGCGCAGCGGACATGACGGCGGCGGACACGTCGACGGGCGCATGCGCAGCGGACATGACGGCGCGCGGACACTCGACGGGACGCATGCACGGCGGACATGGACGGCGGCGGACATGACGGCGGGACGCATGCACGGCGGACATGACGGCGGCGGACACTCGACAGCGGCGGCCGCCCGTCGCCTGACGGCTGCGCTACAGCAGCATACTAGGTCTGTCTGGCTGGTCAGTCCCACTTTAAGCATGGTCCATAATTTATACAACTGGCATACGAAATGCCGGTGACCTATTTAAACGACGTTTTGGAGACAGGTGTCAATGTCATGTGAGTTGACTGTCAATAAAAGTCGCTATAATAGTTCGTAACCCAGCCCGCATTATTGGTGCATGAAACTGATTTTTTCGATGTGGTGTTAATTTTGAACAAACCGAAAGCATATTTGGAGACCATTGCGCTGCATTAGAGTGTCAATTGTTGAAACGAATTATAAAAAAACAGTATCCCTCAAAGGTCAAGAGTTCAAACGGTGTCGAACCTCCTCACTTCCCTTCTCTCCCTCCCTCCACCCACCGAGAGCCTTCTTCCTGTAGTCTTCCGCCTTGAGCATGGTGTACTTGTGCACGCGCTCCACGGCGCACATGTACATCTCGACGACGCTGAGCGAGCGCACCACCCACACCAGATAGGTGGGGATGAGCAGGGTGTAGTTGATGGCCAGGCCGATGAGAGCCGACGGCACGCGCTCCCGGCTGGTGACGGCCACTGTCACGGCCGACACGCTCGACACGAACACGATCACAGCCCCCAGGTAGTCCTGCAACAGACCGACCCACATGAAGTGCTTAGGAGGGCCGTACGACCACACTGCCGCCAGCTCATCCCGGAGACACTGTTTACACCGCCGCGAGTCTTGTTTATGTTGTAAATGACGCCTGCTTGCCCTTTTGTCTCTGCTCGTATCCTCTTTGTCCTTTCGGACATGGTTTACTCAGGAGGTGTGATTTCATAAAACTTTGTCTCAACGATTCCCTTACGATTCATTCCGTGTTTTTATGCCTTCTGTCTCTTTCACTTTTCTGCGACTGGCAGTCTTGATGACGCGCACATATCGTCATACGAACATTTGAGCCTATGTCAGTCAAAGACGCCGAGCAATAGTCTAGGAACCAGAACACCCGAGCGCTGCGGCAGCGGCAGCCGGCCGCCAGCTACCCCCGTCCCCGTCCCCCCTCCGACTGACCAGCGCGATGCCGAGCCAGCGCTGGCCCGACTCGTACACCAGCGAGGTGAGCAGGTGAAGGTCGACGCACTGCAGCAGCGTGGCGAAGAAGCGCTTCTGGTGGCCGTACGCGCGCACCACACTCAGGCCGGCCTGCGTCTCGGCCAGGTGAGAGAGCACGGGCGCGCGCGCGATGTGGTCCAGCCGCTGCAGCTCACTGTGAGCCGGTGAGAGCGTCAGAGAGGCGGGCCGACTTACAGACAGACGCCAGCGCGGGATGGTATGTCGTTGATGATGGAAGCTGATGGCCTACGTGTCATACTATGCATGTCGTTCTTTCCGTACATTTGCGGATGGTTTATCGTTCATCAATGAGTCGGAATGCCCTGCTTTCATACGTCGCGCCATGGGTCGTCCGAAAATAATGTTTCAATGTCTTACGCTTTAAGACAATGGTTGAAATTCAAAAGAGTAAAAAAGTGCGTTATTTCTTTAGGCAGCTAGCGGTACAATGGACTTCAAACAGGCTTGCGCCCGTCTCGAACCTGCTTCCGCTTAAGCCTCGTTTTGTTTTCAACCCTTCAAAAATCGATTAGTGAAGAATGCGACTAAGGCCAGGTCAGAGAAATATATGTTCCGTGTGTAGGTGGATTATGTTGCGTAGAATGGCGTAGGCAACACGGGAAGACGTTTGTGGTCATGTAGCTCCCTCTGCCCTTGGAGGCGGCGAGGCTCCCGGGAGCGAATGTCTGGGATCATTTTGGCGGTTTAAGACGCCCGTGAGGTTTCTAAAACACAAAAAGGGGCCTAAAGGAACCAAAGTGGGATCCCAAACATTACAAACATTCCAAATACACAATCAAGGCCCTTTTATAGCAACGGAGCGGACTGCTTGGCTGAAAGGGCCCTTGCACCCCAATTTTGCCCCGGCCTGGTTACGTCATTGGGTACGATGCCCATTTTTCCCTCCTCTGAAGAAATACCGTCTCCAGCGGCCTACTCTGACTGTCTTTGCGCACGGAGACAGTTTCCATTCAGTCTAAGTGACCCCAGTTTGGGCTCCAGACCACATCTTTGAGAAGAAAGCGGGCCAAATCCGGAGAGAATTCCACTTGTGGGCGTATTTTCGGGGCAGGTTTTGCCATTTAGTTCACTGTTAACCTCGCCAACTGGTCTGCGAAACAGCGCTGCTGTCTGCGAGCACCTCATACGGTCTATGGATGTCTTGATACGCGCTCCGGGGTCAATTTGGCCCCCGAAGGTTTTTCTAAAATGGTTCCCGAACGGCGCAGCGCAGCCACGCCACATTTTGCATAGCTGTAGACGATTGAATAGCGGATCGTTCGATATTCGAAATTTAGGCGTACCTTGTAAGGTCGCTAACCTAGGGGAGGTCAGTCAGCCATGGAATCAACGAAGACAATGTCTAAGAAATCATCCAATCTGATGCAACAACGGAATGTTAGACAAGGCCAGACATCTGTAAGTTAATTTTTTAGGCAACACAACAACTGAGAGACTATATTCCATGGACCAAGAGTCAGGCATGGACGTCGGACAAAGGTCAAGACCAATCTGTTTTACTACTGGAAAGCTTGTTGTGCGCGGAAGTTTCTAGTGCTCATTTTGAATTCATTGATAATAGGAACCGCATTGTAAATCTCCCATGGACTTCTTACATGTCAGGAGAGGTCACTGATCTAAAATGACCCACGTTAGCATTTTGGTTCAGGAAAACACTCCCTAGCGTAATACTTGACGCTTATTCAAATGCAATGCAAAAAAGCAGTCTTGAATGAGTTTGGTCACTACGACCTGCGAAAGATAAAACAAGGTTACCGACATTAAATGAGCGCCAATGGCCTTTTGGTTAGAACACGCGTCTAGGTACTGGGGGCACCTTGGACACCAATGTGGATTTTGACCTCGTTTGACCTGATCTGACCCCAAGGCTATGACCTGGGAATCCAAATGTTAACATAAATACGCGGCTTCATGTAATGCAATATTCAGGGAACTTGTCGTTGATAAGGATATACATTTGGCATGTGCGCGGTCGTGCGTATAAGTACCTAAAACGACACATACAGGTGATCACTTCAATTCCACATTACTAGGGGATCACGCTGGCGCGTGGAAATTGTGCCCCGACCAGGCGTGGCAAGGCGAAATCATTCGGAAAAGATCACATGAGTTGGAGATGCTCCGCCAGGGCGGAGGGCAAATGGCACGCGCAACAAGCCAGCAGACGTAAGGACTCCAACATCTACGAACAAAAATGTAATTTCGTGTAATACGTTGAACAATGATAAAAATAATGTGCAGTGAACGATTTGAAGACAGAGAGATGCTGTACCGGTGGTCATAACGCACCAAGCAATCAACGGAGGCTGTTATCAACAGCGCGGTCACCCACATGGCGAATGTTCTGTAGAATCTCTGCAGAAGTAGTAGATGACGGTGATGAACAGTGCGATGAAGATGAACCACCAGGTCACGACGACGTTCACTATTACTGCTGTCAAGCACTGAAGGACGAAGAAAAGCAGCATGTGTATCTCAGTATGCCATTTCTGTGGAAAGAGAACGCCAGCGTTAAATTTATGCATCCACTTAGAAGTCGCCACTCACAGGCACGTTTGGGGACATCCTTGCCATTCCGGGCCGCACCAATTGATTTTTAAAATGTCAGGACTTCCGCACTTAAGTGTAGGAAGAAGTACCAGCTAAGTCATGCGTAACACCGTTTCGAACATGAGCCAGAACTAGTCATGTCACGGATTGCGCTCCTTAGGCATCCAGCTAGCTTGCTTGGGATCACCCAATTCAAGCCATGTTGCTAAGCCCCCCCCCCCCCCACCCACACACTGCAAAATTTACGTCGCACATCCATGGTAGCCCTTGATCTACAACTTAATGCGAAAAAATATTGTACGTAAACATGTTTAGACGATAATGCACGATAAGGACATAAGGATATACGAGAATAAGCAAGGCGGAAGAGATCAATGAAACCCTACGGTGGAGACAGCAACTTTAAGTTTCTGCTGCTAAAAGTCGTTTCCGAAAGGCGGTCATACGAATGCATCACCAACAAGCGAGAGTGCAATGGCAAATCTCGCAGACATTCCACGCTATCACAGAGACTGTCAGATAACAGATAACAGAGTACCACAGACACCAGGCCACATCTTGAGCCCTGCCTCCACCATTCCCGCACCTCCCAGCAGCATCTCATCCGTCTCTCATCGACTCTAGCATCTCTCGCCGTCTCCTAGGGCCTCCCATCACCCCCGTCTCCTGCAACCGCATCCAACGCAATCGTAGTGACCTCTACTGCGTCCCACCACCTACTAGCTATTCCTTCCGGTATTCCGGCCTTCCAGCGCCTTCGATTAACCGCACTAACCCTCCATGACCTCCACATTCTCCCGCGGCCTCTCCCAGTTCCTCCCACTGCCCCCATCGCCGCTCTCTCGCACCTTGTCGATGAAGCTGACGTCCTGGGCGAAACCTGTCGATGATGCGGCCGGCCGGCGTGCGGTCGAAGAACTCCTTGCGGGCGCGCGTGACGGCGGCCAGCAGGCGGGCGCTGCAGGCTGCGGCGCCCGCGCGCACCCCGCCCACTGGCCGCTCAGGTTGGCAGCCAGCGCGAGCAGCACGGCGACGGGCCGACAGCACGCCGTACACCCAGCAGGTAGGAGCGCGTCTCGGACGCCATGAACGCCTCTACGCGTCCGACACGTCCTCCGACTCCACGGCGCTCGCGGGAGTGGCGTTGCCGCCAGCCAGCCTGCTGCCACTGGTCCTTGTGGCTGCGGTTCCACTGGCTGGCCGCTTCGCTCCACCTGCTCAGCCCACACGTCCGTGCCCACGTGTGCGCCTGGCTGGTGGGCGGTGCCCGCGCGTTAGTCAGGCGGTCGCGAGGTCGTGGTGGCTGTATTTGCAGTTCATGCAGCAGTCGGTGACATAACAGACGACCGTTGTTCACACGACGACCCTTGAATGGCAGTGACATGCACCGTAGCATAAATGGAAAGGCTACATGTCTGTGAAGTTGTGGAGCCTCAATACTCAAGCATAATGGGGAGTGATAGGTCTGGCTTGAACCGATTGGGCAGTAGACTAAGTTTGGTCCGTCTTGCAATCCACGGCTGAGGGCGGCCCGATCAAACACACCAACACTGGGTTCGGTCCAGGGCGTGTTTAATTAATCACCCATCGGGTATGCTGAAAATTTGGTGGACCTTACTGGTGCAACTCAGCAGTCCATTTCCACAATCCGGGGAGAGGCTACTACCCCCCCCCCCCTTCCCCCCATGAAGGGCTGAAGAGCCATCAGTGAATAAGGTAGAGGTCTGGCATTATCTACTCTCACCCTGAGTAAGCAGAACCATGGTCGAGGTACAAATGCCAAAACCCAATCCGCACGCCCCTCATGTACGTGATGTACACCAGCTTTGAAATCTTTGCCCTTTCCCTGTCTTCGTCTAGAAAGCGTCTTGAGTCCAGGTCAGACTCTGGAAACGGTAAATAGCATAAGAGCGTAGCTTAGTGCAAGCGAAGATGCGGATCCGGAACTATATAAGCCTTATATGAATATTTGCACACACAGAGTACAGACGTCTTCATTGTGTTTGAATGCACCTCTATCGAACGATCCAACTCATCAATGATGCGCCAGACCGATACATTTAAAGTAAATCAATAAATCAAATACCGGCACTGAAGATATACAAGAGCGCTAAGCCAACGTTTCATTTCATGCATATGCATTAGGAAAAACCCAACAAAATCATTTGTCAGAGAACGCGCTTTAATCTGTAACTACAATCTCGTGTCAGATCACGACAGACAGCTCTTCGTCCGAACAGACCGCGGGCCTGTGGGACCCATCCGTCGCGGCATGTGGGATCTCCGCCACGGGCCTGTGGGACCTCCGCCGAGGGTCTGTAGGACCCCACCGCGGTATGCTGGGACGACCGTTTGCCGAAGGTCTACGGGACCCTCCGCCGAGGGTCTGTGGAACCTCCACGCGGGCCTGTGGGACCACCACCGAGGGTCTGTGGGACCTCCACCGCGGGCCTGTGGACCCTCCGCCGCCAACCGTGCAGCCTCCATGTCTCGGCACTGGTGCAGCCTGGCTCACCTTCTCCTCGTCGCGGTCACATCTCGCTGTAGTTGGAGGCGATGGAGAGCGCGCGTGTCAGCTGGGGCCGCGGCGGCGGCGGCGGGTCGGCCGGCACTAGTGGCGCCATCTGCTCGGGGTGGGTAGCGTCACGCTCGGGGGTCGACAGGCGACGTACGAGAGCTGGTTGTGCTCCTGCCACAGGGGGAAGCAGGCGGTCAGGGCGGCGGGCTGGTGAGAGGCAGGCGTTCAGGGCAGCGAGGGATGGTTGGTGCTCCATGTAATTGGAGACTTATAGAGCAAGCCAACGAAACAACCTTGTTGCGGCGCTGAAATTACGCGACCATAAAGTAAGCGCATAAAACACCAATGACCGCATCAAAACTATTTTCTATGACATAAGAGCCAGCACGGATCCCTCGGAACGGGCCACCGGAAGCTTCCACCTGCCAGCGAACCCATAGCACGTAAGCATAGCTCTAAAAAGCGATCAGCGCCACCAGCCCTCATCCCAGTCTTGCCGTACTGAGGCGCACACCATACCACTAGGCCGGCCAGCAGCCCACCTCAACAACAGGCGGCTCAGCAGCTCACCTCCGCAGCAGGTGGCTCAGTAGCTCCCCTTCGCAGCAGGCTGCTCAGTAGCTCACCTCCACAGCAGGCGGCTCAGTAGCTCACTTTCGCAGCAGGCTGCTCAGCAGCTCACCTCCGCAGCGGGCGGCTCAGCAGCTCACCTTCGCAGCAGGCGGCTCAGCAGCTCACCTCCACAGCAGGCGGCTCAGTAGCTCACCTTCGCAGCAAGCTGCTCAGCAGCTCACCCCCGCAGCGGGCGGCTCAGCAGCTCACCTTCGCAGCAGGCTGCTCAGCAGCTCACCCCCGCAGCGGGCGGCTCAGTATCACCTCCTCAGCAGCTCACATCCTCAGCAGCTCACCTCCGCAGCAGGAGGTTGAGCAGCTGGCGACCCGAGTCCGAGACGGAGCCCCGCGCCGGCACCAGCGGCGACGGCATGTTAGGCGGCGACGACACCATCCGCTGCAGCCGCAGGGACTCGTACCGGCGCTCGGCGTCCTCTGCCGGCGTGTCGCGTGCTGGCTGGCTGGGGCGCCCGGCGCCTGCGGCCCCAGCGAACTGGAGCGGCGGTACAGGCGGCGGCGCACGCTGAGCGCCAGGCCGGCCGCCGGCCCGCGGCGGCCGCCGGTGGTGGCGCGCCGCCGAGGCACCGCGCCGTAATCGTCGCTGCCCACGTCCAGCGGCACTGGCAGCCCGTGCGACATGTGGTGGCGCAGCGACGAGCGCCGCCCCAGCGCTGCGCGACGGAACGACGAGAACTTGTCGCGGCTGACGGCCGGCGCCGCCTGTGGGCGGGAACGCGCGGCGTTCAGAGGGGCGCGCACCGTGCCGGCACAGCCCGGTCTGTACTTCACACGGGGGCCGCGGAGGGGGGGGGGGGAAGAACCAATCAACGACACCACTCAGGAACGAGTTCAGGTAAAAGCGCGCCATCGCATGATGTTCGCTGCTAGGCTTGTAACTTGTGCTGGCAAGTATGCTGTTACCAGTATATGCTATACCTGTCCGCCCCAGTGAGGCCGGCCCCGGCGGGCGACTTCTGTCCCAGACCTGTCCGCACCACCGCGTCTCACGCTAGATGCGGGCTCGTTTACTAACCGTCATGAGCCGGCTGGCCTTCTGGATCTTCTGCAGCAAGCGCCAGCGCTCGCGGGCCGTCCGCGTCTCGGCGGCCGCCTCCTGGTTCTCCTGCTGCTGGTTCAGCTGGATGAGCTGCTGCCAGCGCCGGTACAGCTCCGGGTCGGCCTCGGCGATCTGGGCCAAGGTGCCCTGCTGCCGCACCCGGCCCCGCTCCAGCGCCACCACCTACCGCCAGCGGGCGCCGTCAGCCGGGCAGGGAGCGGCGCTGCTGGAAACGGATCCGCTTCCTGGGGGCGGGCTGCTACCGGCGACGGGCTGTTATCTGGGGACGGGCTACTACTGGCGGCATGCTGTTATCTGGGGATAGACTGCTACCGGCGACGGCTGCCATATGGGGACGTGATCGCCACGAATGGACGGGGCTCCCCGTCACATGGGGTGTAACTTCAACTGGGGACGAGGCCATCATCTGGGAGCGGAGCCATCAGTCGGGCACGGCGTTATGAACCGGAAACGGGGCTGCCATCGAAGAACGTAGCTATCAACCGGGCACCGAGGCATGACTCGTGGACGGGACAGCCAACTGGGGAGGAAGCTAGGAAATGGGTCGGACCGTCAACTGAGAAGTACACCCGTCGGATGGCGGCAAAGCTGCCTCCCAGATGACGTTGGAGATGCATTGCGAGGCACGGCGTCGCCATCCGACGTGAGCTAATTGCTCGAGGCTGTATTTTGCCCAATGTGCGAGTGCAGTAAATCTTGCCATGTTTTGTCCGATACACCTCCGTACATGGCATCGCCAAAATCAAGGCTGGTCAGACCTTGAAACAGGCCCACATCGAAAAGCCCATATCGTCGGCAGGAGACCTTTCCACTCCACCATTACTTTACCAATGAAACGCATCAATGGATTGGTGCCGAGTTTAGTCGGCGGTCTACGTGTCTTCAGTCAAGTGAGTCCGGCGAAGAGACTGGACGACCGAGTCACCGAAATTCCAGGTTATGTTGCATTGTGCAGACAGGTTTTTCCAAGTAAATGTTATAAGACAAGGACATATTTCAAACCAAATCTGAAATACTCGAAAATATGATAACAGGAGTGAAACCCTTGATTTAGTGTCATTTAATATTTGCGGTGTCTTCATAAAAATGCTCCCCGAGTAACGTTTACCGGCTGCTTCGATAGATCTGACGACACAAGATGAGTTTCGCCCTTGAAATGGCCTATTATATATGGTATTAAATTAGGTCCCTGTCTAATATGCTGGCGTGAAAAGGTTAAATTAGTGCTAAATTCGAAACACTCAAAAAATAGGATGGGCAGAAGTGAAATATATGGTTCATCGTCAGGACTATCAAACCAGTCCCTAACTTTTCACCTCGAATGCGTTTTTCATCATCATGTACCTATAAATCCTGGAAAATAGCCGTCACAAGCTATTACAGTAATGACCTGCTAAATGTACGTGCACATGTACGTGCTAAATCATGTAAAATTCTACGCATCATGGAAAATCAGTAAAAAAAACATTAATTTAGCGTATAGAGCATGTAACCGTGCCCAGTGGAGCAAGCCTCAATGCGTTCCTAAATCCAGAAATGAAATTAGTCACGGATATCATCGTTTGCTCCAAGAAATGCTGCCATCGAGAAATGACCCGTGTTATAATAGTTACCGCAGCAGAGGGTAAGCGGTTTACCATCTTTCATAAGGAACGCTGTAAAACACATTGCCAACTGTTGTCGCAAGACAGCGCAGAGTCTTCCCAACAGTCCCCCCCCCCCCCACACTCCTACAGTTGTATCCCGTCAGCCTATAATGTCGGATTCGCAGTGCAACGATTAGGCCCGAGGCCGACTTCCTGAACCACACCTGGTCTGCGTGCTTCAGATACTGGAGCTTGTGTGTGACCAAGATGACAGTCCTGCCCTGCTGCACCAACAGCTTCCTGATGCCGTTCTCGAAGACGTGCAGCCCGACATGAACGTCCAGCGCGGACAGCGGATCGTCCTGAAACGGGACCACGCCCTCGGTCAAGGCCGTGACCCCATTCAAATAACCGAAGGCGTGTCCTCACGTTGGTGTTTAAATCAAAGACATGTCGCCGGAAAAGTGCCAGTTTGGGACACGCGCAGTGAGCATACTGCGCTGGTGCTAAACAAACGCTCTGGCGCACGTGGGGCAGTGATAGCAATGCAGCAGCCTAGAGCAGCGGCCGGTCCTGCCCAGCAGGGACTGCCACCAAGCTAACATTGAGCACACTCGAGAGATCACGCCTCGCTACCCGGCTTCACATAAAAGTCTCCTCGCTCCACACCTTGTGCCAGCATCTGGCTGACATTAATGCGGCGGCGGCGGGGCGAAAATTCACGGTTCCAGTCGCTGTTCGGTCACCTACATGTGACGCCGCACAACCGCTCGACCTATCCAGCAGGCTGGCGAAAGTTCATTTTAGTCGGAACCACTCGGGTCGCAGGATTAACAGTCACCTCACAAGGCCTGTCTACAGAGAACTCTGGTTTCAACGTCGCATATCCGATGTCATAAACAAAGCACAGGAAATCTACGGCTGACACTATTGCACATGATTCAGGACACCCGACGCACAAGGAAATCACCACCACGTGACCTGGGCTCACCAGAATGACGCAGTTGACGTTCGAGTACAGCGCGCGCGCCACGGCCACGCGCTGCCGCTGCCCACCGGACAGCACGACGCCCTGCTCGCCGATCACTGTGCTGTCGCCGGCCGGCCCCAGCAGTATGATGTCCTCATCGAGCGCGCAGGCGGCCAGCACGCGCCGGTAGCGGCGCGGATTCATCCCTCGCCCGAACAGCACGTTATTGCGCAGCGAGTCGTTGAAGAGCCACGGTGACTGCGAGGCGTAGGCGAGTGGAGCCGAGCTGCCGGCAGACGGGGTTCAGTCGGAGCGAGCCGCGGCGCGACGGTCTGGTGCGCGATGTGACGTGCTCGCCAGCGCCAGGGCAACGCGGCGGCGACAGTGACGTGCGCACCAGCGCCAGGGCAACGCGGCGGCGACAATAACGTGCTCACCAAGCGCCAGGGCAACGCGGCGGCGACAGTGGACATCATGAGTGCCATGGACTGCGTGTCAGTCCGGACCCAGTGCTGAATGTCGCCGGTAGGTGCTGGCAGGGAAAAGTTGAAGAGGCTTATCAGAAGATTTACTGTTTCCTGCCCTCATATGGCACCATTTAGCTGTGGACACCCGGCCACCCCGCAGCCCAGCCAGCGATGCGTCTCCCTCTCACCTGGCCCAGGTGACCGAGCCGCTCTTCGGCGCAGCTCGCCGAGAAGTGCGGCCACCAGCGACGACTTGCCGCTGCCACCGGTCCGACTATCATGGTGAGGCCGGCCGCGCGGCCACCACCAGGCTGATGTCAGCCAGCGTGTCGGCCTCACCGTCCGGCCGCCAGCTGAAGCACGCCTGCTCCATCGCGCACCACACGGCGCCTCCCGCGCCGCCGCCGTCTCCCCATCCGGATCCTATCTGGCTCCACGGGGTCCACGGCGAAGCGCACCGCCTGCAGGTTCAGTGGCTGGAGCACGCGAACTGGGCCTGTTACGTTCCCGTTCCTGCCTGTCCGTGGCGGGGTCGAGGCGGAGGCGGGGCGACGAAGGTCGGCGGCGGCACGTCTGTGGCGTCGTCCTCTGTTCCGTTCCCCTGCGGCGGCCCACCGTTCGGGACGTCGTCAGTCTGCGCGGCCGCGTCGCCGGCGGCCATGCGGCTCGCTCTGGGCTGGCCGTCGGCCGCCAGTCCGGTTCGAAACCGCAGCGGCCACAGCCACGGCGACGGCCGCCGCGTCCACTTCCTCGTCGGCCTCTCGGGATGCTCTGCAGGCCGAATACGGAGTCTTGGCTGCCCCAGAGGCAGGCCGGGCCCTCCGGGGGCGAGAGTTCGAGCGAGTCCGGCCGCTCTGTCGTCTCCGGCGAAGCGGCTGCCCGTCGTCGTCGTCGACAGCGATGGGTGGGGCCCCTGCTGGGGACGGTTGCAGGTGGCCGTCAGACGCCGAGACAGCCGGGAGCAGCGTCGGTCGGGCGTCAGGGACCCTCGGACCCCGTCACGTGCTATTCGCAGCGGATAACAGGACAATATAACCAGCCGTCGGATTTAGCTGACTCATGCAAATATTAACCGCCGCTGGCATTATCTGTCCTCACGGCGGTGAGCGAGATGTCGGACGCGTTGGAACCTGAGCAACAGAGCTATCCACTGGGAGCTCGGCGTGTGATGATTGTACACGAGTAAGCTTTAACCTTACATAGGCCGGCACAGGAACTCAAATACAGAGACTGAAGAAAGCCTTCCCGACGTGTGTAAAGTGTTATGACAGATATGCTTATTGGACGTTGCATGGAAGAAGTGTCTTAAAAAGATCGGCACCTCGCTCCCACATTCACCCGAGGTAAGATTATTGTTACACCCGCAGACAGGATGCGTTTCCCTTTCGGTTTTGAAACGCCTGGCTGAACGCCACAGATACACAGTGGTCTAGTGTACGCATGCCATGTAAAACCGAACCAAAGTATACTAACAAAGCGTTGGAATGGCCCCACAGCGGGACGCCAGGGTCAAACTTGCGAGAGAAGGCGCCGTTGTGCTCGCATTGTGGCTAGGCACGTGAACCAAAACGCTTCGCGAATTAACCAACGTTGTTACAAGAAACCGCAGGCTTGAAAACGTGGGTTGAAAAAAATGGATAAAAAGAAGATTGAAGTGAATGGATAACGCAAAAAGCACAAAACAGCCAAAGATAGCACTTAAAACATGCTGCCACATCAGATGCACGAGATCAGCGTGATCAGCTGCCGCCACGTGCCAACATCAGCACGCCGTCAGCCCGTGCCCCTTGCCAAGTCCGCCAAACGGTCACAGTGCCCCGGGTGCGGTGTGTGCGGGAGCTGCGCCGCGAAAGGAGCACCCACCAGGGGGTTGCGCGGGCTGGCTCCTGGCGTCCCCTGAGACGGGGGGACTGCCGACGCAGCGACTCCACCTCCGCCAGGCCGAGGAAGTCGCCCCAGCCGGCCGATGCTCACCTGCGGCCACAGACACAGACGCGATGCCGTCACTGGCCGACGCCACACACCGGCGCGTTGGCTCACTGTTTACAATCCGCTGCTTTACGATCAACGGTTAGCGGTCATAATCACCACACGCCACGAGCGCTGCATGCTCTGTGCAAACACCGCCACACTAGATTTCGAGTTGCCGGTTCGTTCGCAGTTTGTCATTTTAGAGCTCTGGGACCACCGGGAGAGGAAGTGGGCGTTGTACAGCACAGCTACAGCGGAGCTTAAATTAGGCCCTGTGACCCAACTTCTCCAGTCAGGTGTTGATGTAGAGGAAGGGATCTGTGAGCCACTTCCACTCAGACCAGAACCCGAAGCATGCGATGCTTCTTTTAGCTAGACTCGCTACCGGCTATTCCCAGACTGCTGAGCCATACAAAGCTGGATCCTGACGTGAGCTTTGGCGAATGTACAAAACGCTCCCGATACAGGACGCTCCATAGGACCCGTGCTACGCATCCCACGGTCTCGGGTGAGACATCCAGCCAGCCTCCCTTGTCGAGTTATCCTTCAGCATGGCGATACACGTTGGCTTCAGACTGGTGTGAGCCTGCCAGAAGTCCCACTACGGGGCTCACTGCCGGCAGCCCCAGCGCGGGAGGGTCACTGCCGGCAGCCCGAGTGCATGAGCTCACTGCCGCAGCCCGAGCGCAGAGCTCACTGCCAGCAGCCCCAGCGCGGAGCTCACTGCCGGCAGCCCGAGTGCAGAGCTCACTGCCGGCAGCCCGAGCGCAGAGCTCACTGCTGGCAGCCCGAGCGCGGAGCTCACTGCCGGCAGCCCGAGTGCAGAGCTCACTGCCGGCAGCCCGAGCGCGGAGCTCACTGCCGGCAGCCCCAGCGCGGAGCTCACTGCCGGCAGCCCGAGCGCAGAGCTCACTGCTGGCAGCCCGAGCGCAGAGCTCACTGCTGGCAGCCCGAGCGCGGACCTCACCCAGGCACCGATGATCGCCTTTACGATCTTGGGCAGCACGAACAGCGGCACAGTCAGCTGGTTGAAGAGGGCCACGCCGCTGAAGACGTGGGAGGAGACGAGTGGCTGTCTCTCCAGCAGGCTGTACAGACCGAATGTAGTCATGGTGATCACCGTCAGCGAGGCCTGCGTCAGGAACACTGCGGGAGGGTTCATGCCGGGTCAGCCACGTCACAGGGGTCAGGGCGAGGCGGCGCCTCCGCTCGATAAAACGGAGGAATGGTTAACCGGTCGGCCGATAGTGGCGCATGGAAGCAAGAGACACTGATAAATGAGAACGACTGTGGTGATGAAAATCATAGGGGATGACAACTAGTTGATAACAACTGATAACAACTAAAGCCATCTAACCAAAAATATGTCTAGTTAATACATGACGCTGTACATTCAAGGTCGTTGTCCAATGCCTATGCCAGTTTATGGTGTTCAACTGCCGTATGCCAATTTATAGATTATTATGCATTTGCACACTCATCAGACATTTGCATGGCATTCCAGCCTTCGGACACCCAACGTAGAGCATGAACATCGCCTTTACGCACTGTTCAGGGCCCAAAACAACGAGTCCTTCATGAGCAGCTTCAGCTCGTTTTTCCTGACGAGTTGTATCTTCTTCTCGTAGGCGAACTCGAGAGCGTTGAGCTTCAGCTGGCGGATGCCGTTGACGAACTCGATGGAGCGGCTCAGCTCTCGTCGCTCTTCGCCTGCAGCACAGTCAAGCATGGTGCTGGAGCGGACGAGCTCAGCTTCGGAAAGCTGGCTTGTTGGTGGATCTCGGAGCTGTTTTCCGGACTAGGATTTCTGGCAATGTCTAGGCACATGTTCGTGTGCACCCCTGGACGTTATTTCTGTCAACATTTCTGAGATTTGCGCCCGCCGATGAGACCAGACGCACAGGTCTAGTTTGCAATATACTGACGTGACGGTCCGTTCCCTCCTTTCCCCTTACTGTTTCCGCTCACCTGCAGCACGTGTTTGTTGGCCTGCAGATTCTTCACGATAACGAACTGCAGCGGTGTCAGCAGGAAGATGGACACGAAGCAGCCGATGACGGCACTGATGCCCAGCTGGCCGTGTATCAGCACCAGCAGAATGATGATCTGAGCAAGGGCCACACTGCTCTCACACACCGCATCAGCTGACCGTCTCAAACCATGTGGCATTTTATGTTTATTCTAAAAACGCAGACTGATGGGATGTTACCAATATTAGGCGCCAGCTATGTGACGGCGCGAACCCAGGCCACGATACAGAGAGAAGTCACGCCGGCACAAACCCCATAAAACCCAAAGCAAATGCGCAGTCGTGACCCGGGTCATGTCAGAATCACCGTATGGGACAATGCCGCTGTGGTCGAAACAGCGCATAAATACGGCGCCACATGCTTCGCTCCATGAACCATTTCCTCCCTCGCGCCCACCCATCCATCGGCTTCCCGTCGTGGTAACGCCACTGGCGCTGGTGTGGGCCCGGCGACTCGTGAAATTCTGTCTAGTCATGCCTCGTGCAGTCGCGCACGCCCGCCCTGGACTGCAGAGGTCCCTGACCGGCGGGATGTAGGGGCAGGAAGGTACCGCGCCTCCGCCGTCGTTTGCACACAGCTGGTGGACCGGCCCACATGGAGTAGAATTGGCCAACCATTGTCGGCCACCAAACGGGCTAAAGGCTGCCTTAACCTTCCTGACATTAGGGTGCGCACCTCATCAGGGGTGGCCTCATGATAACGCCGCTTTGAATTGCCACCACAGGCCTTTATATTGATACGTATGCTCTTCTGCACATCCAGGACACCTTCATAGAACGACACTACG